GCTAGTAAACTTCACGTATATATGGTAAATATTAAAAAAATATTTTAAGCTTAGCTTAGCATGAAGGCTAAAAGCAGCTAGCTAATGCTACATAAAGGTAAATTAGTTTTTAAATATTTTATGTTTTGTTAATTACTGTGTGCAACTTGTAATACAGGGTATGATATGCTGAGAGGATGGAGAGGAATCCCTCACATACTACATAAACTGCTTTTTGTTTTGTGTTTTATCTAAATAAAAATGTATTTCACCTTCTGATTTTTAGCACTGCATCGTGAAACAGTCTATAAGGCAAACAACAATGAAATCAGAAACTGACTTTCACTTTCAGCACTCCTGATGGGAGATGACACAGCAAACATGGAGGTGATCTGGATCCCATTCTGTTTCAGCTTTTTATTCTTCCACCTTCACACCAATGCTGCTTCAACATGTAAACTGCAGCTAATTAAATAACAGAGAAATGAAACTGATTCAGAGTTGAATCTGAGGCCCATCAGGCAGCAAAACACATTACAGAGTATTTCATTATATTAATAGGAATTACATTTAATCCAGTTAAATTATTTATATGGAAGTATTACAGGTGTTGGTTGATTTGGTTTTTAATTATTATTAATTGCAAAGACAGTAGGGGTTGCATAAATCTTCTCAGAACAACATTTTAAAGTTGAGTTCCTTATTTCAAAAAAATGAACATTTAGGAAAAATAGAGAAATCAAGACATTCGGGACCAAATTACTCATCTTTCTGAACATATTTAAAAGAATGTATTTGTTCATGAAATTTCAGAAGAAGCAGCGGGTTTTTTAGCTGAAGCTGCACTCCACACCGCACAGATTACATATTCAAGTAAGCAAGATAACACTAGTAAGTGCAGATAAACCCAATTGAGCTCTTGTGACCATCGGAGATAAGAAGAGATTAGATGTGAAATTGCAAGCTTGGGGACAGACATTATCAGATAAAGACATGCTTCCACTAATCATCTTGAAATGCAGGACTGCAGAGCAAGAGTGACATGGGGGATGAGAAGCCCCAAAAAGTTGCATATTCGACAGGACAAAGACAAATGCCTTCTGAAAAAAAATGACCACAAGGAAGACAAAAGGCAGCACCTCCATGTGACATAAAACAGACTCCATTGCGTCTGTCTAAAAAGTGATTGTGGTTAGCTTTTGTCTTTTCCAATAACTGTGCATCTGAACAAGACAAGCAAGAGATTTACATAAAGCAGATTTTCCAACACAACATGACCTTGTATTCAGTTGTTGCACGTTGACGGACATGCTGGGACTTGATAGATGTAATATGGCTCTATTGTGTGAGTCGAAGGGAGTTTTTTTGGTCATATTGCTCAGGCACTCATCCCCTGTGCAGACAGCAGCCTCAGGTATTTCTCTGCCTGTCCACCCCCACCCTGATTGTGACAGACTGTCACATGAAAACTAAACCTTTCCCAGATTCCTGTTTCAAATATGCCATTTGTGCCAGCTTAGCAAGCAGACGAAAGACGAACCTTAGGAAATTTAACCTCTAGCCCTGAAGTCATAGCCCACGTTTCATTCATGCAAACCACTGAGCTTACTCTTCATTTCTCAGGGAAACAGGAGAGTGGGGTGGGAGTCACGAGTGTAGCCATAATGTTCTGTGGTGCAGAGGCTTCAAACGAAATCCTTTCTTTAAATTCTTTACATGAGTCACGTTTTTAGAGGTGTTGTCCAAACTGATAAACTCATTCACTCGATTCCACCTCCCAAAAAGACATCATTTCTGTATTTCATTAGACTGAAGCAATATTTAAAAATTTTAGGCACTGAGGAAAACCGCTGAGGCAAAAAGAGTCTCACTGAGATCTAGATGTTGTCATCTTTTTCCATTTATAAAGCCTGAATTTCAAAATATACAGCCAAAGATATAAACAAAATACCTATTAAAGTCTACATTAAAAATATCTGTTACTGCTTATCCCATTCTAGGGCTGTGCCTCATCATTCCCATGAGAGAGAAAAAGTTCCCAGGATCTTGGTCAGCCATATTTGGTATGCTAATACCCACTCAATCTGACACATTCCCAACACACAGGAACAGGTGTCTTCAAAACAAGGCAAAGTCTTAGCGATCAGGGTATCCTCTTTTGTGGCTCCACAAGCAGCAAAAGGGGAAAATTATATGGTTTGGGAAAACCGTGGCAGCCTAAGCACAGAGACCCAAAACACACACACAGCACTAGTGCTGAAATGTTAACAAGTAATTATATGCCTGGACTGCACTATAGAATAGCGATGAGACATAATAAAACCAAAGCGAGTCAGAGCACAGAAGGTCGTGGCTGATGTGCAGCTAGACAACAAACCCTCTCAAGATCTAATAAGGTGAATTCAGGGGAAGTTGAAAACATTTAACTGAGCTTCCATGAAAGGAATCTCTGTATAACTGATACAGCATCTAATCAGATATGGAAACGCACGCTGGATGAAAATGTGAAATGTGTTTGTGTCTCACCCATCAACATGGCAACTGGGAGGAGTTGAAACATCCAGACTCGGAGACGAATATGATGCACGTATCTGCATCTCGGTTACTGTCGCTCCTCTGACCGCTCGCTCACAGCAGCTTTTTGTTCAGCTCTCCCGTTCCACATGTGTTAGCTGTGAGCGGGATTTGTTTAACTGTCTGGAAAGCAGCCACTGTATGGTAATTTCTGTTGTGATAATTGCCTTAAGTACAGGTTAATGTGCGTGTACCCGAGCTGCTGGGCGAGTGAGCTTAACGCTGTTTGACGCTGACTGCGAGTTACTTGAAAACTTTAACAAGGCTGGGTGCAGGCCATGAGAAAAGCCTTGACTGGAGGCAGTTGCCTCCTATGACTTCATATTCAGCAGTCACACTGTGGCTCGAAGAGTTGTTTGTTCACTTTAACTAATCAGTAAGGACATTACACAAATTATAAATATGCTGTGTGTGGGTGTGGGTGTGGGGGGGGAGGGGGGGGCAACAAAGAACCTTGGATTGCGTTCAGACTGAGCATCCTTTTAGCTTTATTTGCGCCTGCTGGTAATCAGGTCAGCTGTCTAACCATGTGTGACAAGAGAGAAAGCAAACCAAGCGCAAAAAAACCAAAAAAACAGCAGAAAATCCTCCAACCATGATGGGAGGAAATATTACATCTCTGACTATTGCTAACAGGCATGAAATTTATGAGCATACACTCATCGTTGGCCTATATTCTGTGTGGCTTCAGACTTGTCCTCAGTACAGTATGAAATCATGTCAGAACACAGCACAAAGTTTTAATGACCTTCAGAGTGCATGGACAGTGTGAAATGTTAAAGGATGCTTAGCTTTCTTAGAAGCTTTTCTTTACTCTTAGATAAAATGCGCAGCCCATTGTGTCTTTAAAAACCATCAGTGTGATCCAACATGTCTTTCAACGCAACATGACAAATTACCTCTGAAGATTTACAGTGGCACCCCGAGGCCAGACATTTATCTGCTCAGCCTTGTACATGTCTTCATATCAAAGAGGCTCAACCTCCTCTCGTGGCTTTGAAAACCCCAAATCAGCCATGCAAAATACCAAGGTAGTGTTATTATCCTGAGATGATTACTCTTGGAAAGTTCGCATGAATTACATAACATAATATCATATTGCAAGCAGGTGGGTGACAGACACCATGTCCTCTGCTGCAGCAGCAGCAGCAGCAGCAGTAGCGTTGCGTTTGCACATATTTTATTTGACTAAATTCTCCTTTGAATTAAAGATAAAGTGTTTATAAGTGCTCTTGCTTTAGTGTATTTTCAGACACTGCTGCAGGAGGTCACTGTGTGTACAGTTATTTGCTCATTTTGAATGCTTTTGTAACCATATTACAACCAGGGTGGGTTACAGACATTTCCAAAACACTCATGACTACAGCAAAATCTTAAGGCGCCCTAACGCAAAAGATGGCCACTGCACAATATTTCTGTAAATAACTTAGTGCACAAATATTCATTTAAACTCTTGACAGTATGTGAGTTTTGTTTACCTGTTCTCTCCTTTTGCATTGGAGGGCGGTGGGTGCAGAACAGTTTGGTTGTCCTCCATGTCCACGACACATTTTGTATTCAGTTCAATTTCTGCAGAGAAAAGTTTGTTTGGAAAGTGAAGCAGAATGCGGGGGTGTGAAGAATAAAATCGGAGTTACTTTGGCCTTCTTTAAACTATTCTCAAGTCTGACTTCAGGCTCACAACTCAAACTGAAAGCAGCAATGGCGAAGAAACCAAAAGTTTATGGTAATGTGGCACGAAGCCAAGGAGACAGAAAAGGAGTCTGCAAGCAGAAATCGTCGTTATAACACTTACCCCTGCGGTTCATGGGCCGAACTCTCACTGCAACTTTTACCTTTGTATCCGACATTTTCGTCCACTTTTCACTCCCACCCTGTCTATTCGCCCAGCTATCAACGCAGAGTCTCCGACAAGAAAGCCGGGCTTTTTGCCAGAAAAAAGGGCAAAAGAATCTAGCTAAACAATCCCAAAAGAGTCCGATCCTCGATGAGAAGTGATGGGAAAGCGTTCATTTTTGTCTTAGTATCCATCCGGGTTCGCTTCTTGTGCAAATCCAGCACTCAGCTCCAGCCCCAGACAGCATCCCCACCGCCATCTTCCACTGGGAGCACGACTGCTATCCTCTGGCAGACTGGAGAGGCTGTGCCAAAGAGGGGGAAAGGATTTACGCACCCCGCCGGCGCATCGGCGCATTGGGGGAAACCAATGAACGAGAAATGTGAGCGTGTGTGACAAGTTAGTTCACGTGCATCAGTGAGCATTGAGAGGCAGTGCGGAGCTAGGAGTCAAGTTAAACAGTTGTTATCAAATATGATTTTTGGCTACGACTTATTGGCGCTTAGTTCTCTCACACATACACACTGAATTGTTTAATTATTTGCATTTTTGGTAAGCAAGAAAAGGGGTCAAAAATTTACAGTTATATAACTTTATTATAAGGTTTAGCAGAATCATTTTTTGACCCACCACCTCACTTCTGTTGACGTAAAGCCTAAAAATAATGTCTGTTTTTCACTCTTATATCCCCAAGCTGCCAAATCTAACCGTTACATTAGCATTTATTCTGGGCTGTTTTGAATTTCTTTTTAAAGTTTAAGTTTTGCCATTTGTGAATCACCTTAAAGTTTTGCATTAAAAAGCTCTTTTATGTGATATAATCTAAATTAAAAAGTCTTCTGTTATACACGGGAAAAAAATAAACATATAATCTGTAGTTGTGGCATATAACGTTTGTACAATCTATGTATGGTCTCACTGTCTGCTGTTAGCAGCTGGACCTTTATTTCTCAGATAGTTTCAATTGGCATCATTTTTCAAAAGCCTTGGATCAGTTCAGAGACTGAGAATCATCACATTGCTATATTACACCGTCATTAAATAACACAACATCATTGTCAACAACTGCTACAACATTAACACAATAACAGACATAATTTCATTCCTGACGTCCTGCTGAAAATGGTTTCATCATATACAACCTTTTGTTTTATTATTATTTTTGACACTTTCAAAGTAACACAATGACATTTTTACACTCTATCTATAGTAAAACTTGACTTGTAAACTAGTCACAGAAGGCAACTCAAACAAAAAAAAAATTAATACAACCTCTCATCACTTCATCCTGTGATAAGCTACATTTCACTTCACTTTATTTAATTTGTCTCACTTGAACAGCTACTTTGGGATTGTTCATATCAGGCGTGGCGTTCGACAGAGATGGAGATCTAATTGTGATTGTCACAGTGATGTCACAGGTCCAGCATCAGATTTGGGAGAGTAAATCTTCACTGTATGGTCGCCACTGTCCAGTGTAATGAGAAGGTTGTTCAGTAGCCCTAATCCAACAGGGCGAATAAGATGGTCTCCCACAAGAGGAGTACGGACTGGGCCACTCTGGAGCTTCCCTAAGCTCCAAATCATCCCCTGGTCTGAGTCAATCACAATTAGATCTCCATCTCTGTCAAACGCCACGCCTGAGATGCTGAGCCTCACTGTGGACTGCAGGGTCAGGCTAAAAGTGTCTGTCTGGTAAAGGAGGTGGAACTCTTTTGTAAACACCCTGAGCCTTCTGTGTTGGTGTCTCTCCGTTGGATTGGTGACATCAGTTAGATGCTCTGTCACTGCAGTGTTCCCATTCACGCAACAATAGGCCACCGCTTTAGGGCACTCAAGGTCTGAAATGGTTGTTTGATGCTCTAGAATGACGCTGTGACTATAGTCCACCCTCACCTTGGAGAGGGTGCCGGCCTCAACATCAGAGACCAGGATGTGTCCACAACTGTCAGTGTCCACGCCCCAGGGCATCTGGAAGGAATCTTTGATTGTCAACACGTGATTCCCCCTGGATGTGAACACTTTTACAGCTTTATCACCTGCATCAGTCACAACCACGTGACCAGCTGGGGTCACTGCCACGTCCACTGGGTAACAGATGTCCCCACTGGCGGCTCCTTTTCGCCCAAAGCTGTGCAGCTTCTTTCCCTGTAGATTGAACACCACCACTCTCTTTTCTCCATCATGGACCACAACTATTGTTCCTGAGGACCCCAAAACAGCTATTCCAGTTGGGTTGATAAGAGTCCCCCACCCACCAAATGCAGTACGCAGGAGAAGAGTTGTGCACGTCAGAGCTGTGGGAAAGATAAAACCAGCTTTTGCTCTACACGGAGGAGCAGACGGTGAGGGACTTTGAGACAACAGAAGATCCTTTAGGTCACTAAGAACCTGGCAGTGGGAGGTGCTGTCAACACTGCATAACTGTCGACAGAAAGGGCACTCCAGCTTCCTCAGGAGAGGGTGGGACAAAGCTGTGATGCATTCCAGACAGAGTACATGGCCACAGGAAAGGTTCTGCGGTCTGTGCTCCCTTTGCTGAGAGCTAAACGTCTCGAAGCAGACTTTGCACTCCAGAAGGTTGATCTGTATCTCTCTGATTATCCCCTCTGGACTGAGGCAGCCACGATGTTGGAGACTCTTTGCCATGACTGAAATATCCTGTTCTTTAAACCCTGTGGGATGGTTCAGTCAGCTGATGCAGGCAGCAGCAAATTCAGGAAACCAAAATAGAACGCGTGCCAATTTACGTGGTGAAATAGAGAATCATGGAGAGAGGCATATGAAGCACAATTTTGTGTAAGCACTCGTGCCGTGGGCTTTTAGGCCTCAACTGTCACGTGGTATTTTGCACATAACTAAGGCTCTCTGCTGCCCTCCTTTGGAACAGTCACAGAACCCAAATTGCAGATATCACAGATTAAATTCAGTGACAAAAAAGCCTGTATATTACTTTTAAAAAAGGAAAGAAAGAAATATGCCTGGCTGGAGTTCAGTGCGCAATCTCTTAAATGTGCAACAGTGTGTCTGCCACTACTCATGTTTAAGACTATATGTTTATTTCCAAAGGAACAGCAACCGTACCTTCAAATACATCTTGCTGTAGGTCAGCATGCGGCAGCTATTTCAGTCTGCGTTTCATGCTGTGCAGACGGAGTGAAATCTGATCTGTTATGGGCCGTGCTTGAATCAGCCAATCCAGCCCTCCTTTGCTGCAGCGGGACACTCCTCAGGGGTCAAACAATGTCATTTAAAATTTCTCTTGTTAAGTACGCAAACACAGAGGGGCTTCCTGCTAATAGGAATGTGACAGCAAGTAAAAACGACCAAACAAGATTAAGAGGAAATGAAAACACTTTTAATACATTTCACAGTGGAAAAGAACAGCACAGGTCGTTTTCAGCAGAATTGTTTTTGGCAAATGACATCTAAATCCACAGACGAGGTCCTATTTAGTGTCTACTGTATGTAGCACGGGAGCCAGGTCTGTTCCAGAGAGGTCAGTGTCTGGATTGTCAAGGATTATGAGGGATAGTTTATCTGTACTGAGATGATACTGACACATGAAATGGAAATATAACCTTCAAAGAAAATACTCAAGGCCAGAAGAATCAAAGACACACAAAAAAATCAGTCTTAATAGAAACTGAAAGAAGATAGGAATTAAAAAAACAAAACAAACATGCAAACAGGCACAAGGGGTGAATTAAAATGTTACCACGACAGTGAAAAAGGTTCACATAACAATACTGGCATCTTGCTGTGTGGTGAATACAAAGACTCTTGTAACGGTTTCCTACTACAACACTTGTTTTGATTGAAGTCAGCATGCAAATGCAATATACACAACAAGGTCAATCCAGACACAGACAGAAAAAACGGACAATACATGCAGTAATTTGAATAATTATCTTCTCTTATTAGTAAAAAAAAAAAAAGAAAGAAAGAAAAGAAAAGAAATTAGCAGCCACAGGAGGACAAGGAGAGTAAAATCACTCAAGGTCACAATGATTCACAAAATACTCGAACATTACTTAATGTACAGTATTTTCAATAAACTTTCTGCAAAGTGCTTAAACTGTGTGCTTTGCTTCATTACAGGCCAAACACAGACCCAAGCCGGTGATCCTACCACGCTAAAGCTGTCTGGTATTGACCTCCTGCCCACATTCAAGTTAAAAAACATAAAATAGTGAACATCTATGATGTAAATAGATAATCAGTGACAGACATTTATATAAAAATGCTTTAGCTTCTTTTGTGCTATAAACATAGACGCTCCACTAAGTGATAAATTCTACATAATGGCTTTTAACATTGAAATGGGTTTGATACCAGAGTTGGTATAAACCAGTCAATTGTACATTAGCCTTTAATGATACTGCTTCATAGGATAACTGAATTATAGCTCACTAGCTACAATGATCATGCAATTATATTTAGAAATGGCAGTTTTTGTTGCCACACCTTTCTCTCACACACTCGCACAAAATAAAATTCTCCCACTCTTTCATCCAAAAAGCAAACACAAAAAAAAGTGATCAGTGGTTTAGGAGCTTTTATGACTACAGCACACACCAACGTGTGTATCTCTGGAGTCTGAGCCACTGTGCACTCCTAATAACACTGCATGGACCTGTTTTTCCACTTCTGCTGTCTGCACTCCATCTACTGTAGGTGGGTGGCTCTCTAGGCTTCGGTTACATCAGGAAGTGGTCGTAGCTTTACCCTCTTCTCCATCTGTAATCTTTCACACTTTGGGTTACCCAACAGCCTCCGCCTCCAACTCCTACTGGCTGTCGAGGCCGTTGATGGATTTGGTCTTTTCTGAGTCCTTCTTTCTCTGTCTGGCTTTAGGGCTGTCACCGTCTACATCAGTTTCTCCTGAAACATGAAGGTCACATATTTCAAATGAACCCATAAAGAGATGTAACTGCACTGTGTTTGTTCTCATACATGTATGAGTATGCATATGTAAAGCACTATAATAAACACTAGAGGTCACCCCTTTACAAGACAACAACTGAATACTGGTATGCATTTTTTAATGTGGTGTGCTGGATGAATTACAGTGAAGCCAGTGTACCTTTAAATCCCTCATATACATGGTCAGCAAACTCTGCGAAATTACTGTCTTCACATTCTGAGAGGCTCTGAGGGGAGAAAAGGTTTAAGACACATGACACACACATACATGTAACTGGACAGAGACCATACTGTACATGCATCACGACTAACTGACTCCGTACAGCTTTCTCTGTAAACAAGCCGATAACAACCCCTACAAGGAAAACCTTGAATGTTAATATTTACTAATGATCTTTGAGAGTAGATGATTATTTAGCTACAGAGCATTAAGCATGGTTGGCTTCACCCAGGACATTTGGCCTTTTGCCATTCAGGCACAGATGTCAGTTTGTTGTAGCTTTATTTAGACGTAACAAGAGTTTACAGAAAGGCACTGAAGTGTGATGCTTGATGCTATTGCACTGATCTATATGTGAGTAAAGTTCAACTTGAATCCTTTTTTATATTGTTAATGATTGTGGGTGTGGGGTATGGCCAACCAAACCGTGTATTTGTTAGAAAGGCTGCGAATAAAGAAACAAGTTGGGATTGAAATTCAAACATGTGCAAATCCAATTTGCACATGTTTTAAGTGCTTTTATGGATATTCACGTTGTTTTTCCTAATTCCTATCATTCCTGTCCTCAACAGAAGGGAAAAACTTCAGACTCCTGGCAACCACAGGTCACTAAGGAAACTATATTTTCTGTGAGACCGGTTGGAAAGGGGTTGCTAGTGGTCGCTGGTTGAAAATGGTCGTATACGGTGCTGCACCGATAGCCTCTTAACACTTACTAGCTTTCAGCTGAGCAGGGATACTTTTACTCTGAAAGTGTGACACCTTCAGAGTAAAAGTTGTCTCATTTGAAATGTTTTGGTTGCAGTGGTAAAGCACAGCTTTCACTTTGAAGGGGATTGTTCTCAGTTTCTTGTTGTACTGCTCTTCAGGTTTCACTACTGCTCTGTGAATAGTTAGTCTTGGTAAGTTTTTGGTGCAGGGACTACACTAGTTTCCAGAGGCTGCCAGGGGATTGTCGGCTGGTCTGTAGGCCTGTGTGACTAAGGCCTTAAATTCTATGTAAATGCTTCAAGGTCTGAAGCAGTTAAATGGAAAAACTCATGAAAGCTAAAGCAATAAACATACCTTTTCCCTTGGACCATATGTTTCTGCGTACCATACCATTCCATACAGGCACAGGAATGTAATGAAGGCCTAAAAACAGAATGAAGAAACTGTAAAATGATTCATGGAAAACGTGTAGAAAATTACTTGCAGCATTCTATTTTATTTGTATGTTAGAATATTCGTATTAAAAAACAAAGATATATGTATGAAAAAAATTATACGTATTTCAGTGCATGATAGACCTTACCAAACACAACAGCCAGAGGATCACATAGAGGATCTGTGTTTTTGAGAACAAGTCCTGCCCAAACTTAATGCATGCCAAAGCCTCCAGAAAGGCTATTGCCCTGTGAATGAGAGAGAGGGGGCAAAACAAACACATAGTTCAGTATTTTAACTCACTGGTAGCAAAAAGAAGAGAAATCCAAACCTAAAAATAACATCCAAATCAAACATGTCAGTTTTGGGCTTTTATCTGCGAGCAGTGCTTGGGTCACTGACCTACACATTTGAACTTTTTTGGATAAAAATATTCCTGATGTAGGTCAGCTGTTTGACAGCTTAGTCCTTGAGTGAGGCAGTGAAATGCCTGCATGAATACCACTGTTCATAATCTCTGGTAGCTCAGGTAACATCTCCTCCTTGAGCTGCTGTCACTGGCCATGGCTATGTGTACACAGCACTAAATGTTCATAGGAATACAAGATGTTAAGCAGGCTTATTATTAACAATCTTTAAAATCAGGTTACTTACCCAAATACCCAACACTGGGTCCCGACTCTCTTGCACTGTGTGTCTGTTAGGTACGCATAATACTGCCTGAAGGAAAAAACAAAGCAATTTTTTAGCAAATTTCACTGGAACTTCTAGTCTGTGTCTCTGTTTCCTTTAACCCATCTGCCACATAATGAGGGTAAATGCATGAAATGATATACCTTACTGTTGGAGCTGTGATGATACCGATGAACAGGATTCGACACCAGCTAAGAGCATGGCTTGCAGGAAAGATGAAAATGTGCTTAAGGAAGAATGTGTTCAACTCAGTAAGCTGTGAAAAAAACAAACAACAAATGATAAAAAGGACTACAATTAAAAACAAAAGCAAGTATAGCATTGTTTACAATTATTCAGACAGTAGGACATTTCTATTCATTTTAACATACTGAAACTTTAAACTTAAACTCACAAAACTCTTTAATATACTCTAGCCGGCCACTTTGTTGGGTACACCTGTTGCACTTGTGCATAACGCAAGTATTTAATCAACCACCCGCTGAAGTTAGATGGAACCTTAAAGCAGATGTGCTACCTCAGCAGAAGACCACAACGGGTGACACTCCTAACAGCTAAAAATAGGAAACTGAGGCTACAATTTGCATACGTTCATCAATCTTGAAAAACAGAAGTTTGGAAAAACATTGCCTGGTCTGATGAAACATGATTTCTGACATGAAAGCATGGATCCAATCTCTCTTATATCAACAGCTCAGGTTGCTGGTGATGTAATGGTGTTGGGAATATTGACACAAGATAACTCACCATGTAGCACACCTCAGATAAACTTCACAAACTGGTTTCTTGAACTCAAAAATGAGTTCACTCATTCACTCACTGTAGGGCTGTGCGATATGACCAAAATCTTATCGGAGTC